GCCCGATTATGGCACTTTGTTAAAGCAAGCTGAACTGACACTGGCTTGATACCACCTCAGTGTACAATCAAGTATTTAAGGGCACGCGTTGGGAGCCTTAGACACTGTCTCCTACCTATTAGCCCCTCTTCCTACCGCCAAAGCTGCTCCTGTTCATGTCACCACATACCTGAGTACCACGTCCAAAAGGTGATTTCAGGCTTGATCTTACCCCTTTAATCCTGAAGGCGGTGTGTGACATCTTCCAGCTTTTTGCAGCTTCACATTCTGGAGTGAAATGGATATAAATCAAACCAAGAGTTCCCCTGGCTCCTCCTCAGATTCCTCTCCAGATGTTTGATCTTTTGCTTTGGTAGTCTTGGTGTCCCCGAAGTCTGCAGTCTTCTTCCTTGTCCTCGCCCTTCTCCATCCCATTGACTTCAACTGCCCCCCTCTGTTAGGGGTCTGGTGAGGGCCAACTTTATGGTTCCAGCGCCCTTTGCTCTAATCCTCCCCTGGCATACCTGGCAGAATCCTCCACTCTATCCAGGGAGCTATGGTGCTTCCTTGATGTCCAAAAGAGCCAGAGCAGAGGTATGGCAAACGGCCGGTGTGGTCTCCTCTCCAGTAAGCTAGAGAGTACGAGTCCCTCCCACGGAGTTGAGAAAGCAGCTTTTCTGGAGCTAGGGCCTTAGAAAAGGTGAATTCCTTTGCCCTGAAAGCCTCCAGGGGGTTGAAACATCCCCAGCTTTTTTTTTTTGCCGGGGGGAGGGGATTCCAACTTGTCTCTCTTCTCCAGTCCTCTCACATCATCTCACCTGAATTCTCCAAACCAGTTCAATTCACAGGTCCACCGAGGGGTCTCTGGTTTCTTCCCTAGTTCCTTTCCAGTCTGCAGCCAGGCTAAGGCTCTCACACCCCCACACCCCTTGGAAGGACTACAAATGAATGCAGAGCTAGGGACAGCTCAAACTCTGGCCATAGCCATGTCCAGGCCTTTATGATTCTAGTTACCAGTGATGCCTGGGAAAGGCATAGGGGTGTCAGGGACATGGCATGTTCGAGAACAGCATGGCTGGGTTTTGCTGGGGTGCACAGCAAGGGGTGGAATTGTGCTGGGAGCCAGCACTGGATGGATGAGCCGAGCCCACACCCTGAGAGGCCTCAGTCTTGAAGAGGTGTCCCAGCCTCCACCACTCCTTAGTGAACTCGGAGTCGGGAGGGGCTCTTAGAGCATCATGGGGCGCTGCCACTTTACCTGCCTCAGATCATTCTTGTTCTTAATTGCACCAATTCACATTTTGGCAGCTATGTGACTCTGTACCCTCCTAAGCCTCAACTTCCTAATTTGCAAAATGGGGGAAAGAAAACAGCCCTCACAGGGTTGTGTGAAGTGGAGGTGTGAGGTAAGGCAGGTGAAGGGCTTGACATGACGTCTGGGTCAGCACCCCACCCATGGCAACACCCGCTGCCAACTGCCCACACTCAAAGGACATGTCTCTGCCATCTGAAAGTAGACAAGGGTGGCAGCCACACTGATGGCTCACCTGGAGGGTGGGGCGCTGGAGTTCTCACCAACCAAAGGCCTAGCTCTGGTTGTACCTGAAGTAAACCAGATGTACCAAGAGTTGTGAACAAAACCTGAAAATTCAACCTCATGGAATTTGGGAGCTTCCAACAAAAAGCAGGCCAGAGAAGAGGCAGTGAGTTCATCTAGAATATTTGGACCCAGATCTAGAAATAACGCACTTGTCTCCTAGTATCCACCTTCTCCTATCTGCCTTTCCCCTGAATTTACCCACTCTGCACCTTGCTGCTAGCCAATCCCCCTACCTTTTTTTTTTTCAAGATGAAGTTTTGCTGTTGTTGCCTAGGCTGGAGAGCAATGGCACAATCTCAGCTCACCACAGCCTCCACTTCCCGGGTTCAAGTGATTCTCCTGCCTCAGCCTCCCAAGTAGCTGGGAGTACAGGCATGTGCCACTATGCCTGATTTTGTATTTTTAGTCGAGACGGGGTGTCTTGATATTGGCCTCGAACTCCCGACCTCAGGTGATCCACACACCTCAGCCTCCCAAAGTGCTGGGATTACAGGTGTGAGTAATCGTGCCCGATCAGTTGCTAGCTGCCCCCCCACCCCCACCCCTTTAGAGATGAGGTCTCTGTCACCCTGGCTGGAGTGTGGTGGCATGATCACTGCCACCGTGACCTCCTGGACTTACATGATCCTCCCACCTAGGCCTCCTGAATAGCTCAGACTACAGGTGTATACCCCATGCCTGGCTAACTCTGTTTTGTAGAGAGGGTGCCTCACTGCCCTATCCACACACTGCTTGCTGGCTTAATGTGCATTTACAATCTTTTGTGGCCACAGAACTACAGAAACCACGCTCCAGCACAGCACCAATCATCTTTCTTGCAAACCCACAGCCGCCTTCCAGCCTCATTTCCTGTGCCCACCTGGTCCCTTGTGACTAGCGCTGGTCCTTCCCAACCCTGCCCTTTATGCTGCCGCTACTCCAATCCCCTGAGACCCCCTTCCCCTAAAAGACAAGGGAACAACATTTAGAGCTCATGCTGCGACAACCATGCCAGTGGGAAACTGCCCATCTGGCCCAGAAAATGACTAATTTAAAAAACACAAAATTTGATTTCTAAGATCTTTCCTGTCACTTTTTATTTAAGTGACAAAAGCAGGCCGTAACTTTGAACACTCAACCATGTAGGAAAAGAAAATATTAAAATTACAGATGTATCATATTTTATAAAAAGTGAAAGGCCAGGCACAGTAGGTCACACCTGTAATCCCAGCACTTTGGGAGGCCAAGGCAGGCGGATCACCTGAGGTCAGGAGTTCAAGACCAGCCTGGCCAACATGGTGAAACCCCATCTCTACTAAAAATACAAAAATTACCCAGGCGTGGTGGTTGCCTGTAATCCCAGTTACTTGGGAGGCTGAGGCAGGCAAATTGCTTAAACCCGGAAAGTGGAGGTCACAGTGAGCTGAGATTGTGTCATTGCACTCTAGCCACTGTGACAGTGAGACTCAGTGTCAAAAAAAAAAGTGACAGGACTTTTTTTTTTCTGGTTTCAAATTTTTTAAAAAGTGGTCATGCTAAGTTTTATTACTTAAATAGGTTAATGCTAACACCTAAAAGTGTCACCAGTGCCCTGAGGTGGATGTGGATCACACACTTGGAAAATGGGCACTTTGTCTACTCCACATGTGACTGTGGACCTCCAGACCTTGATGCAGCCAGGGATCTGAGGCTGAGATGTGTCAGACAGCTAGAAGGGACATGTGTGCCCCTGTTTGTTTACCTCAATGGGGAATCTGTCCCTTAAGAAAGACCTGCCAAACTTGAACTGTGACCTAAGTCACAGTCAAACGAAACTTACATTTTTACATAAATTTTTACTGAATTGCAAAAATTAGTAAGTGGTGCGAAAAGGACATTTCTTTTGTTGCAAATAACAAATTGGGGAATGGAAAAACAATTGACATGCATTTTAACAAATTATTTAAAAAATGACTTCCAAATTATAAAAGTTCACCCCTATTTCATTCTGAAAAGCCTAGTTTATATGAAAAGATGGTATCATTGATGTTTTATTTTCAACAAGTAAAACTAAGATGAACAGTATTTGTCTGAGATTTCTACTTGGAAGGACATGACCCAGAGAACCAGGCACGTTGGCTCTTAACTGTAGTGTCAGCTACTCAGGAGGCTGAGGCAGGAGGATTGCTTGAGCCCAGGAGTTTGAGGCTGCAGTGAGCTATGATCTTGCCACTGCACTCCAGCCCAGCGACAGAGTGAGACCATCTCTTTTAAAACCTAAGTACATAATCCACTTATGAAAGCAAAATTACATTTCATTGTAAGGTGGTACCTCCCTTGCAAATTCCAAGGGTCTCTCCCGCCTATTGGGAGGATTATGGGATCATCTTTCCCTTCTGCTTGGTAGACTGTGTAAGACAACGACTTGGCTTTTCTGTCTTGGCCCAGTGCTTGATCTTGACCCACAACACGGACTGCACAACCACAGGACTAAAGCACAGAAGTGCAGATAGCAACCAGTCAGTGTCGACCTTCTTCAGGGCTCAGGGCCACCAGCAGGGCAGTAGCTCTTCAGAGCCCTTCCCAGAACACAAGGCACACATGTGAACCAGCAGCTGCCAGGGCCTTGCAGGGCAGCAACGCAGGATGACGAGGTCAATGTCCTGGAGCCTCCAGGAAGCCAGAAAGCTACAGAAGTGGACACTTACAAACACGCAGCTAAGGCAAAGGACACGTGTTAAGAAACTAAACTCACAGGAATTGATGGATGAGTCACCTGTCATTCTAGAGGGAAGGTAATCCTTCACCTTGGGAGACAGACGAATTTCTAGAATCGTAATTTTTTCATGTGCATAAAAAAAAAAAATCTCCAAGAACCCAAAACTTGCTCCTTAATAAAGTTTATAGCCTAGGACCAGTTTTTCTTGTTCATTTGCCTCTTAATTACCAGGAGCACTTGACACAGATCAGTATGTTTGGATTCAATTAAGTCTGGGATAAAGTCTGAGCATTTATATTTTTGAAAAGCACCACAGGTGATTCTGATGCTTACCAAGCCCACTAAATAGATTGGGCTTCTCTTTCATGGAATGCCTCTAGTTAAAGCTAACTGTGTAAGTAACAGGAATCGAATCTCTACCAAGTGTGAGTACTGCTTTATCAACGGGCTCTAATTAATTATCTTATCTGGACTTTGTTTTCCTTTTATCTCCACCGAGACTATTTCCCTCTTCACTCTCCCTCTCATCTGAGGATGATCCAAGATCTCTGAGCCCGAGGTGGGTTTGTACTGCACACTGCTTTACAGAATGCCTTGCACATCGTATAGCATTTGCTCATGAGAGTTTCCATTAACTCCGGGGCAATATACCAGTGCTCCAAACACAAAACACAGGCCAAGACTCCCTGAGGAAGCAACATGGATGTACCCCCTCCATCCTCTCCAAATGAGAATGGCACGGAGTTATAAACATTATTAAATTTTATTAACAAAACTTTGTACACTTTAATACATGTGGAATTTTACATCTAGGTAAAATAACAACACATTCAAAATTTACCATTTATACAAACTGTTACAGAATAACAACCAGTGGGTTAAATAAGTAAAATAAACCACACTGATTTTTTAAATTATCTACAAAATACTTGACTTTAAAATTCCCCTGAACATATAAAAATAAATTAATTTTACTTTTCAATTAAATCTACCAATTAGAAATATTACAAATCAAAATATCAATGTTATCTTATGAATTTTTCACAATACAAAACAGATTCACAAAACTTTATTTACAGAAATGAGGTAAGAACTGTGCAATGTTTAACCAAGAGACATATTGCAGAATTAACATGTTCTTCCAGCTAAGTACACAGTGGAGGTCTAATTACAGCTGGGTCTTTTCCACTAATAATTCACACACCAAAGAACAGTTTGGTGATTACATCCCCCATGGTGGATCACTCTGCGGTACTGTCACATCAAAAGTGTGGCTCCCCAAAGTGGAAGGGCTGTCATACAGGTTTCACCTGTTTTCAGGAACTCTAGTGGTGAGCTTTTGTTTTAATGGTCAGTAATGGGAAGTGGTTAAAATAAAACAACTCTCTATTCTTACCAAATCCACTCCTTTTCTTGTGACTCATTAGTGGATAAATACCCAGGTAATAGTTTTGCCTGAGCTATCTACAGTGGCACAGAAAGTTCTGAATAAAGGCGGAAGCATGGGAAGGCTGCAGGTGTGAAGGGATGATTCCTGCTGCTCGGAGGACTGACTGTCCCACCCTGCTGTCTAGAGCCCTTGCAGCACAATGGAGGCACTTGATCAAGGGCAAACCCCACCAGCACTTTCCAGAGCGGCCCCTTTCTGAAAGAAATATTTCGCTTTGAATTGATCTGGTTCCCCCAGCAGCCTCAGAACTCAGTTAACTCAAGGTTTCTTTAAAATATGAGTAGCTCTTAACACTAAAGAAAGCAATTCTCAAAAGAAAATTACCTTTAGCAGATGCAGACATTACCATCCTAACTTGATTACCAAAACTGGCTAAATCCCATTAGAAAGGAAATATTTTTTAACAAAGATTGCCAAGTCCCAGGTGATGCGCTATATATTTGTAATATTGAATCAATGGAACTCCAGAAGAAATTAGTTCCTTGGAATTTGACTTAGAGCAAGCATACTGTAACCCAAACAAAAGAGCATATTTCAACTTGTACAATAAAATCAAGTAGTTTGTAAATGGAACAAGTATTTAGTTTTGCTATTCGTATCTCCAATTTATAAACCTAGTTGTGTACCAACTATATTCTTGAGTTGATAAACATATTGCATGTAAATTATATCACTTTAAAAACGTATTAAATTTTCTTTCCATGTTCAAAAAATTGGGGTAAGGGGTAGGGGCATGGGAATTCCATTTCAGTGCAACAAAGCAACAAGAAAACTGATCAAAGCCTTACAAGAATGTCCTTGCGGCAATTAATCCTTTGTTGTGCATTAAGTTTCTTGTTGCATTTCTTCATAGCTGTAGTAAAAGGACTGCAAAGGCAGCCAGATGAAGTGCTAGAACAGCAGGACAGGCAATTTCTAGATGTTTCTCAGGTGTCAACTTTTCTCTTGAGCTACAGGCCCGGTTTTATCACTAAGTCTCTGCAGTTAAACAAAACAGCAGATGCGTTAGCTAAATCAACTTTTGATAATATCTTCCCAATTTGAAACTGAGATAAAATGTAGTATAGAAAGTTATTCCCTTTTTTCTTTTAAGTTGGCAAGGCTACTTGCAACATAATATATAGACATGAATTTACTAGTAAATACTTCAAAAACATTAAATTCAACAGTATAAAAAGACCAAAGAGGTGGGCCCATCTGAGGGACAGAACTTCTAAAGAATGAATGCAGAATTCATCTTCCAAAATCAACTTTTCCACAAAAGTAACATGGTACTGTAGAGAACAAAATTTTTATGGGCCAAGAAAGTCATGGGCTGTGATTCCACATTTGCTATTTGTCCTTGGGCTTTCTTTGCATTTCCTTTTACTAATCTATAAACAATGGAGTTACAGCCTATTATTACTTTAAAGACTGAAATCAGATGTCACGGTATCTAGCAAGGACCCCAGCACATAGCAGGGTACTGAGCAAACAGCACCTCCCAGCACTGTGTTCCTCTATTATCTCATTAAATTACTGTGATTTTCCATTAAATACATTTCATATTGTATAACCCAGGAAAAGTTTGTAATCAGTGCATTTCTTAACACAAGAAAAAAACTTGTGAAACACAGGGGGAAAAAATGCTACCAAAGAACTCAATACAGAATCACTGAAAATTGCCCATGTCAGCAGAACACTGGAGAGGTAAACGCCGTGTGTGATGACAGGAAGTTGGCGAGACAAGAGGGCAAACAGAAAGCATTGAAGAGTTCATGAAAAACAATCCTCTATTTTGAATAATTCTCATTACTAAGTACAAACTAAAGTTTCTGAAGACTAAAAGCACAGTAAACAAAATTTTCAAAGTAACGGGAAACAGCAAACACTGCAACTTTGAACACTCATTTGCCAAGTCTCCCACCTCAGTCTCTCCCTTCTTCCTTTTCCTGATGTCCAGTCTCCATTCTACATCCCCATAGCCTTCCTCTAACAGGGTTCTGCCCTGAACTGGAATTTAGGGGAAACATTTATACTCCAGTAAAGTAGATCTAATTGAAGGGGAGAATTAATAGAAAGAAACGGCCTTAAAATGGGTTCTCCTGTATGTGTAGAATACTGTTCCTGCATCCATTTTTAATTTAACTTTCATATTGAAAGGGTAAGATGCCATCACTTACATGAAAATAACTAAAAATTTGAATTCCATTACAGATGTGACTGATTTACTTTCTCTAAAGTAATCTGGTAAAATAATTGGATTGTGTGCCCTAAAATGTATGTATTAATCTTGGTAATAAATATACTTAATCAGTAAAAAGCACTTTAGAGTAAAATAAAAATATTTTCAAGTTACATAGACTGGTTCTATAACTAAACAAAGCTTCTCAGAAAGCGCCAACCATTGTCTTTTGATTTGATTGTCCCATATGACTTGCTAACTAAAATATACTGTCATCCTGAAAATTGCTGAATTATAAAACAGCCTTCAAACCTAATGTGCAAATTCAAACTGATACACTTAGGGGATGTATAAATTGGCTTAGATCCTTTGCCTATAATATCCATCTGCTAAAAGCAACGGGATTTAAGAAGAAATGATCAGGGGAACAAAACTAGGCTGGAAAATGATCATCTCTGATTATTCAATACAGTTCTTGTTTCATTAGATGTAGTAAGGAAAACATACTTACTGCTACTTTCTGACTTGTATTATCTCCATGGATTGTGAGAAATGGGTTGGCGGTAGCTGTGTGAAGTGGGGGTGCCTGTGTACCTGCAAGAAGGTTGTTGATGGGTATTTGTGTTGGTCCAGGGATCTGCAGCTGCTGAAGTTCAGGCTGGTGGTGCTGCTGGTGGTGATGTTGCATTAACTGATACAAAAAGGCTTGATGTTGTTCCTTAGGGAAAAACGTGAGAGAAAGTGAGTTCCCAAGCACAGAATTCAGCAATCAGATGAATCTGCCTTTTGTTTTCTTTCCTTTAATATTAGATATTTGCTAAGAAAGAAAACAAGTATCTCATCTAGGAAAATATGCTGTACTAGATAATAACTATCTGCTATAAAATGTCAATATCTTCAGTGAACAGCTTATTTTTAAAACAGGACACACATAGGAGACTTCTATTAGGTTATCCGTGATGATCAATGAGGGAATGCAGCAGCTTAGAGAAATCAAGGTGGACATTTGAATGCATCATGCGTGGTCAAACCCTTTCCAAACTTAAAACAACTTTAAAGTTCCCGTTCCTGCCTGTCATTAGGGTGCTTTCTTGACACAGTTACAGACCACTCTTTACAGCAAGCATATACTTCATGCAGCATATATTTATAGATTTCCTGAGCGCTTACTAGGTGCCAGGCACTGCTTTTGGTGCTTGAAACACATTGAGCAGGGAAAGGCAAATAAATGAAAACGTTCGAATGTGATTACTGCTCTGCGTCAAGGGAAACAGAATTGTGATTGAGAAAGTCTGGAGGGAGTAGGGTTTAATGGTCAGGTTGTAATTTTAAGCAGATTAGCCAGGGCAGTTTTCATTGCGAAGTTAACATCTGGATGAAGATTTGGAGATGAGGGAATTAGCTGGGTGGATATGGGGGTGGACGAGGATTTCCAGGCAGTGCCAAGGGCCTGCAGAGGGGCAGGTCCAGCAGGATCCAGTAGCAGCAAGGACCTGGGGAGGTTGGAGGGAGCCAGGAGGTAGTGAGAAGAACGCAGAGCTTGCAGTGGCAAGGCATGGCCAGCCTGGCTTGTATTCATAGTAAAATGGGAAGGTTTTGAGAAGTGGCAGAGTCTGATTTCAGGATGGAGTCAATGTGGGGTGTCAGAGTGAGGATGGAGCTGCCATCAGCTGACGTGAGGAAAACGATGGGTAGGGCAGGGTTGTGCAGGAAGATCAGCTGTTTGGTTTTGGACACGTCATGTTAGAAATGTCTTTTAAGATATGCCAGTGGAGGCCTGGCGTGGTGGCTCACGCCTATAATCCCAGCACTTTGGGAGGCTGAGGCGGGTGGATCACGAGGTCAGGAGATCGAGACCATCCTGGCTAACATGGTGAAACCCCATCTCTACTAAAAATACAAAAAAATTAGCTGGGCGCCTGTAGTCCCAGCTACTTAGGAGGCTGAGGCAGGAGAATGGCGTGAACCCAGGAGGCGGAGCTTGCGGTGAGCCGAGATCGCACCACTGCACTCCAGCCTGGGCAACAGAGCGAGACTCCGTCTCAAAAAAAAAAAAAAAAAAAAAAACAACCAGTGGAGCTACTGAGTGAGCAGATGGATTACAGGAGCTTGAAGCTCCACAGAGAGGTCTGGCTGGAGATGTAAATCAGCACAGAGATGCTATTTAAGGATAGCGATAGGAGATCACTGAATTCCACCTTGGGCGCACTCAAGAGGCTGAAGAGGAGGACCAAGAAAGGATGCTAAAGAGGAATGACCAGTTATAGGAAGACACCAAGATGATGTGGTATCCTGGAAGCTGAGGGGAGGAAATGTTTCAAGGAGGAGGAAAAGTGATCAACTCTGTCAAATGCTGTTGCCAGGTCACATAAGATGAAGAATGAGAACTGACCACTGGATTTAGCACCATGCAGGTCATCTGGGGGAAGCAGGGTCAAGCAAGAGTGTCGGGCGGAAGCTGTGCGGAGGCTTCCAACAAATTCTCACCTACATCGTTTGATCCCTGTAAATGAACAAACTTTAGCCCACAACACTGGCGGATGAAGGAAAAACTACAGTCCTTTAGTCCTTATGGTCTCCAAGCAATAATTTGTGCTGAAAATTCCTTAACCAAGTTCTGGAAATGAGACATCTATACGTGCTATTATTAGAGTAAAATCTTGATTAATAGGAAGACACCCAAACAAACGGAGTTTTAGTACTCATATTAAGATGAGGCAACAGATAAGAAAAACAAGATCCCAATCTTAGGGTCAGCATTTTTTTTTTTTCTTTTTTTGAGACGGAGTCTCGTTCTAGTCGTCCAGGCTGGAGTGCAGTGGTGTGATCTCGGCTCACTGCAACCTCTACCTTCCGGGTTCAAGCAATTCTCCTGCCTCGGCCTCCTAAGTAGCTGAGATTATAGGGACACGCTACCATACTCAGCTAATTTTTGTATTTTTAGTAGAGACGGGCTTTCAACATGTTGGTCAGACTGGTCTCGAACTCCTGACCTTGTGATCTGCCCGCCTCGGCCTCCCAAAGTGCTGGGATTACATGCATGAGCCACCATGCCCGGCCAGCAATTAAGAATTTATATACACTCATATGCAGTGTGCCTTTAACACCCCTCTAAAAACAGACTGAAAATCATTCTCCAAGCAGCCCAACTACATGAAGAGTGCTAGGGAAATGGGTCTGGAGGAAGCCCCATGACTGTCCACAGGGCCAGGCCTGCCCTGCACCTGAGCCACAACCCCACTTGGGTCTCGGTCCATACTTTCTCCCCTTCTCCAAGTTCTCTATTTCCCATCTCCCCTCTCATCTAACCGTTAACACCCATCTCCCTCCCTTTACTTTTTTTTTTTTTTTTTT